AATGTCTACTTCCGTGTTTGTCAGCCTTGAAAATGTTAAGAGGGCTGGACTTCCACTCCCAGAATCCCCCAGCCAGCATGCTTTAAGATGGGTGGTCTTCAACTCCCACAATCCCCCAGCCAGCATGCTTTACGATGGCTGGACTTCAACTCCCAGAATCCCCCATCCATCATGCTTTAAGAGGGCTGGACTTCAACTCCCAGAATCCCCCAGCCAGCATGCTTTAAGATGGGTGGACTTCAACTCCCAAAATCTCCCATCCAGCATGCTTTAAGGGGATGGACTTCAACTCCCAGAATCCTCATCCAGCAGGCTTTAAGATGGCTGGACTTCAACTCCCAGAATCCCTCATCCAGCAGACTTTAAGAGGGCTGGACTTCAACTCCCAGAATCCCCCAGCCAGCATGCTTTAAGAGGGGTGGACTTCAACTCCCACAATCCCCCAGCCAGCATGCTTTAAGGGGATGGACTTCAACTCCCAGAATCCCTCATCCAGCAGGCTTTAAAATGGGTGGACCAACTCCCACAATCCCCCAGCCAGCATGCTTAAAGAGGGATGGACTTCAACTCCCAGAATCCTCCAGCCAGCATGCTTTAAGAATTCTGAGAGTTTAAGTCCACACATATTAACTTTGCCAAGGTCAAAAAACATTGTTCTATCGTGTTTCAAGCCTCCATATTTTTAAGAATTTTGGGCATCTATTAACTGTCTTGTTTATGACGTGCAGATTAAACTCCCTTACAAGTAATCCTCATTTTATGACCACAATTGAGCCCAAAATTTCCACTGCTAACACAAAGTGAGTTTTGCCCCATTTTATGACCTTTGATCACTGCAGCTGACGAGTTAGGAACACAGTTGTAAAGTGGCTTCCACATCAACTTTGCTTGCTCGCAAAAGGGGATGATCACATGACCCGGGGATTCTGCAACCGTCGTAAGTCCAAGTCAGTTGCCAAGCCTCTGAATTTTGATCACGTGACCATGGGGGTCCTGCAACAGTCGCACATGTGAAAAACGGTCACCGGTCCCTTTTTTTCACTGCCGTTCGAACCGTCAGTAAACGAACAGTCGTAAATTGAGGACTACCTGTTTTTGCCAGCAGTCTGGTTAACCACACCTGTCCTCCTCTCCGCCTCAGTGTCCCTTCGCAACTGGGCACCCCAGCAATAAGTTCTCTTCTAAAAGTGAAAATAATGAAAGCATCTTTTGTTTAAGGAGCAGCCGAATCCTAATTTGGGCCTTCCAAACTTGTGAAAATTATTATTATTAAGTGCTAAATTATAATTGCACTCTAGTGTGACATTATTATTACTGCTATTATTGCCACTCTTCTGATTGTCATTTTTATAGCAGCAGCGGCTTTTATAGCATCCCACGTATCAAGACTGGCAGAATAAGAGGGCGATTAAATAACCTCAGACTGGCCTTCTTTATTTTCTGCCTATTTGAACACCTATGAAACCAGGGTCACCTGTCTCCGAGGTTTCGGAGTTTACAAACCAAACTATAATTCCTCCTCTCCCTGTCCCCAGGACCAAAGAAAGCATCCGCCATTTCTAAAAAGGATTGATTTGTGCACAAACATGTCACCATCAAGCTCGGGGTGACAGCAAGAGACCAACTACACCAGAGGTCCCCGATCTTTCTCGGAGGGCAGACTGGAGGAGAAAAGGAAGGGGACGCATTTTACGCGCACTCACACACAACCGGGCCCTGAGCACGCCTGACCCAAACAGGGCGGTGCTAGTGCCCACATGACACTCACTAGCACCACCCCCTTTTTGCCACACGGGCGCTAGGGCCACCCTGTTTTTTGCGGCGTGGTGCCCCGTTTTTGGCACGCGGTGCCGTTTTCGCCATCTAACACATGGGTGTGCGCAGTCTGGCCAGCCAGTCCTGCAACTCGTTGGTCAGCAGGCCATGGTCCGGGAGTGGGCTATGGCCCACAGGTTGCGGACCCCTGAACTACATAAAACATATGCACGCCAATATCTTACAAACAAACCCAGATACTCAGTAAGATTTTTTCCTTTCCAGAATGAGACTTAAGTCTCTCCCTTCAATGAAGATACAACGGGGAGCCTGGAACTGTGGCCACCCACAAAGATTCAGAGCGAGAAATGAAACAGCCGGAAGTTCATCTTCCAGGGAATAATAGAATAACAGTGTTGTAAGGGACCTTGAAGGTCATCTAGTCCAGGGCTTTTCAACCTTTTTACCCACTGTACCACTTTTGGGATAGGGCAACATCCGAGGACCACCAGTCGCCTAGCAAGGGGTCAAAAACTTGATGACCAAAAAAAAAAAAAAAAGGAAAAAAGTGATCAAGTACAGGTAGTCCTCAACTTACAACAGTTTGCTTAGTGACTTGTTCAAAGTTACAATGGCACTGAAAAAAGGGCCCCCCAAGCCACAGCCAAGCAAGACACCTGCCTGCCCGCCCGCCCAGCGATGCTCTTCCTCCTGTCCGAGGTTTTCATTGTTGTGAGCATTTCTGTTGAGGATTGGCAGCGGGGGTGGAGTGGGGGGTGTTTGATTTTTATTCCCCCCCCCCCGTCTGCTGGGTGGTTGCAGCAGGTTTTGGTCCCTTCACATGACCCTGGGACACTGGGACCGTCGTAAATATGAATCAGTGGCCAAGCATCTGAATGTAAATCACAAGACCCTGGAGTGGCTGCAACATTCCAGCTGATCGGTGCTTCTTCGGGGCTCAGCAGAAGCACCAGGATCAGTGCTGAGGTCCAGCTGGATCCTGGCGCTGATCCTGGGGCTTCCGCTGAGCCCTGACAGCCCCAAAGAGGCACTGATCCTGGCGCTTCCGCTGAGCCCTGACAGCCCTGCAGCTCCAGCCGTCTCTCGCTCAGGCTTGTGCGCTGCTGCCACCGGTTCAGCTCCTTCCCCTCCCCGGCTACCCCTTTTCTAGGATGGTCGCGTACCACCTGCCAGGTGCCAATATGCCACAGGTGGTACCCGCACCACTGGTTGAAAAGCCCTGCTCTAGTCCAACCCCCTCCCTGCTCAGACAGGAAAAGACTCCAGTGATGGAGCACCCACAACTTCTGTTAGGCAAGTCGTTGATTGCTCTCACCGTTAGGAAATTCCTCCTTATTTCTAGGTTGCTTCTCTCCATGGTTAGTTTCCATCCCTTGTTTCTCGTCTTGCCTTTTGGTGCTTTGGAAAACTGACCCCCTGACCTTTGTAGGAGCCCCTCAAATCCTGGAAGATGGCTATCAGGTCTCCCCTCATCCTTCTTTTCACGAGATCTACCCAATTCCTCTAACTGTTCTTCGTCTGTTTTATCCTCTAATCATTTCCTGCTCTTCTCTGCACTCTTTCCAGAGTCTCTTTTTTTTTTAAAACATTTTTTTTTAAACATCGTAGCAACCCAAAACCTGGTTGCCATATTCCAAGCGGGCTCCTTTGCCCGTTTTGCAAGGGACATTCGCCCAGTTGCGCCTGAGTGTGCAAACTGCTCAGTTTGCTTGCCTCCCACCCCGTTGGTCTCGCCCACTTGTGCACCACCAGCCATTTATAAACAGCAATCAGACCCCTGTGAGATGCACCTAGGAGGGGGAAAAAAATTCACCACCACCCCCTTCCCATCCAACCGACTCTTCCTCTCATGCACAAATAATCTAGAATGCAAACATGCCAGACACGGGGTTTTTTTTAATGAAATTTCACCCATTTCAGCGAAGGGGGAGGGAGATCCATGTGGAGTTTCCAACAGCCCACAATACCGGCAAGGGCTAGTTCCAGCTTTGCTCTCTGTACAATTTTTAAAGCACTTTCTGGCTTGGCAAACACACACACACACACACACACACACACACACACACACTGGAGCCATCAGTCCAAACCTTCTTCTTCTTATTTTATTTTATTTTATTTTGAAAGCTTGGTCTTTAACTGGACTGAGCCTCTCCATTTTTCTCTTTATCAAGTCCATAGGTGCTCATTACCGTACCTATATATTCCAATAGGAAAGTTTTCCATTTAAAAAAGTCAACGAGGGGCAGTGGCGGTGGGGGGGGGGGAGGAAATCTGCATTCCACTTTATTTTATTTAAAAAAAAAGAAATAATGTAGAGGCGTTTATCATTGCTCTTGCAGTATAACGTTTTTACAAGCCAGGCAAAAGGGGCAAAAAAAAAAAAAATGGAAACATGCAATTGATTGGCGGGATGAAATGGCAGAAGTCGAACAGATAAGGCACACAACCTGCCCCTCTTTTTTACCCCCCTCCTTGCCCCCCCCCGTCTCTCTCTCTCTCTCTCTCTTTTGCAATAGCCCACATGCCTGACCGGCTTCTCCAGCATGGCTAGCGCGCTGCGAGGCTGCCATAGCAAATGCGCCCCTACACGGGCGGGGGTCTGGGGGGCGGGATCTGGGGTCTGTTTTCTTCCCAGCTTTTTCAGCCTGGGGAAGAAATTAAAGCGGGGGTGGGGTCGGAGTCGCTCTCCCCCTCCCAATTCTGGGCAGGGTCCCAGGCAACACCCCCCCCCCGGCCAAATCGAGAGAGGCGGGAGGGGGTGGGTGGGTGGGTGAGGAGGCGTAGAGACCTGGCCAAGAAGCCAGAATACATGGCCAGGAAGGGAGGGAGGAAGGAAGGAAGGAAGGAAAAAAGGAAGGAAGGAAGGAAGGAAGGAAAGAAGGAAGGAAGGAAGGAAGGAAGGAAGGAAGGAAGGAAGGAAGGAAGGAAGGAAGGAAGGAAGGAAGGAAGGAAATGGGGCGGGGGTTTTTTGGGGAAGGAGCCTCGGCCTTGCCACGAACAGCAAAAGCCCCCCGCCCCAATTTCTCCAGCCCTTTTGACACAGCCGAGCCTTTCCCGCCCCCCTCCCGGAGCCAAGGCTGAACTCGCTTGCAAGGGAGAAGGGTGGAAAGACTCCGAGAAGACGACCCCCCCAGTCTCCCCCACCCACGACGACCCTCCTGGGCTCCCCCCCCCGGCTGCCGCCCCCCTCCCCTGGCCGCACCTGCGGGTCCCCGGCGCCTTACCTGCAGCGGCCACCTCTCCTGGCCGGCGTCCTGCGAGCGAGCGAGATGCGGGGATCCGGGGGGGGGGGGCGCGCTGCTTAGGGGGGGGGGGCGCGGCTCGGGAGCGGCCCGGGCCCGCGGGCGAGGCACGGCGCCCGGCCGGGGAAGAGGAGGCGGCCAGCTCCCGACCCGTTGGCCGGCTGGGCAGAGACGCGGCGGGGAGGAGGAGGAGGAGGAGGAGAGGAGGAGGAAGAGGAAGGGCGCTTCCGCTCCTCTCCCACAGGGGGCGCCCGCTCCGCGCGCGCTCCGCTGCTGTGGCCGGGGAGCGCAGCTGGCGGCGCGCAAGGATGGGGAGGGGGCGCAGAAAGCCCTTTGTTGGCTTGCAGCGCCCCTAGCCCGGCTTGCAGAGGAAGAGGAGGAAGAGGAGGAGGAGGAGGAGAGGGAGGAGGAAGACGCTGCAGCTGCTTCAGCACCGGGAGAGGAGGGGGAGCTGGGCTGGAAGCCCCCACCTCTTCGCCTCTCCCCCCCCCCCACGCCGCCCCGAGCAGGCGGCGCAGCGGGCTATCCAGCTGCCTGCAACGCAGCGCCTTTTGCCTGGGGGGGGGGGTGGGCTGTCTGTCTGTAAGCCCCCTTCCTGGGGAGGCTCTGCCAGCTTGGGTGACACGCGTGGCTGCCCCTCCCGGCTTGCTTCCCTCCGTGTAGGAGGGTGTGTTCCACTCTTCCCCCCCCCCTCCGCCCAAGGTCACCCCCAAGCCCTGGAAGCCGGGACGGAGCGGCGAGGGGGGCGTGTTCGGGTGGGTGGGTGGGGGCCGCTGGTTTGGACTAGGTGGCCGACAGCCCGTCAGGTCTGACTTCTCTTCCCCCCCCCCGGGAAACAACCCCGTGGGCAGCGTGGATCAGGTCCCACCCCGTCCTTGCCTCCAAGGAGGCTTGCTCTGGCGGGTAATCCAGCAAGTGGGAATTGCAGCCTCTGCCAACACGCGTGTAAGCCACTGCTGCGTCTGAACCTGGATAACTTTGAAGACTGTGTGGGTTTCGACATTGCTGGCAGGGGAATTCTGGGAAGTTATCTAGATTATCTCTTGAAGAAGAGATTGGACAACAAATAATAATAATAATGGTAAAGTTGGAAGGGACCTTGGAGGTCATCTAGTCCAACCCCCTGCCCAGGCAGGAAACCCTAGACCAGGGGTAGGCAACCTTGGCTCTTTTATGACTCGTGGACTTCAACTCCCAGAATTCCCTGAGCCAGCCATGCTGAGGGGAAAGGGAGAGGTTTCCATGCTGAGCCATGCTGGCTCAGGAATTCTGGGAGTTGAAGTCCACAAATCATGAAGGGGCCAAGTTCCCCCATGCTAGCTCAGGAATTCTGGGAGTTGAAGTCCACGAGTCATAAAAAGAGCCAAGGTTGCCTACCCCTGGCCTAGGCCTAGGCTGCTTTATGACTCGTGGACTTCAACTCCCAGAATTCCTGAGCCAGCCATGCTGAGGGGAAAGGGAGAGTTTTCAAGCTGAGCCAGGCTGGCTCAGGAATTCTGGGAGTTGAAGTCCACGAGCCATAAAAGAGCCGAGGTTGCCTATCCCTGCCCTAGACCATCTCAGACAAATGGCTGTCCAGTCTCTTCTTCAAAACTTCCAGTGTTGGAGCATTCACAGCTTCTGGAGGCAGGTGGTTCCACTGGTTAATTGTTCTCACTGTCAGGAAGTTTCTCCTTAATGGCGGAGGGTCTCCTGCTTGAGCAGCGGGGGGGGGGTTGGACTAGAAGACCTCAGAGGTCCCTTCCGACTCTATTATTCTGTTATGAAATTGGTACAGTGGCACACCTCTGATTTAGACCTGGCCCAGGGCTCCTGTCCCCTGTCCATCTCCCTGGCAGAGGCTACAGTCCGAAGGATCCTGGAAGCTCGGCAGGGTTTTCCTGATGATGATTTGGATGGGAGACCACCCAGAGTCCCAGGCTTGCACAGGCAGTTATCGTCTTCCAACAGTTCATTTAGTGACCGTACGAAATTACAACGGGGCTGCAAAAAGTGACCTGTGACCACTTTTCACACTTAGAACTGTGGCGGCATCCCCACGATCACGTGATCAAAATTCAGACCCTTGGCCACAGACTTGTATTTATGATGGTCGCAGTCTCGCGAGGTCACGCGATCCCCTTTTGTGACCTTCCGACAAGCAAAGTCAGGGGGAGAGCAGGATTCACACTTAACAACCGTGTTACTGACTTATCAATTGCAGTGATTCACTTAACAACTGGGGCAAAAAAAGGTCACCGAATGGAGAAAAACTCACTTAGCAACAGTCTCACTTAACCAATGGAACCACCTGCCTCCAGAAGCTGTGAATGCTCCTCCACTGGAAGTTTTTAAGAAGAGACTGGACAGCCATTTGTCCGAAATGGTGTAGGGTTTCCTGCCTGAGCAGGGGGTTGGACTAGATGACCTCCAAGGTCCCTCCCAACTTTATTATTATTATTAATAACCTGCCTCCAGAAGTTGTGAATGCTCCAACACTGGCAGTTTTTAAGAAGAGACTGGACAGCCATTTGTCCAGTATAGGGTTTCTTGCCTGAGCAGGGGGTTGGACTAGATGACCTCCAAGGTCTCTTCCAACTTTATTATTATTATTATTATTATTATTATTATTATTATTATTATTATTACTTAGCAACAGAAATTTTGGAGTCTACTGTCGTCGTACGCCGAGGACCACCTATTTTGATCCCATTGCTACGGGAATGCTTCGGCGGTTGTAAGATGTGAAAATTGCCACAAGTTGCTTCTTTCAGTGTCGTTCTGACTTTGAACGGTCACTAAATGAACTGCTGTACGTTGAGGACTACCTGTATAAATTTTTCCCAGCCGAGGAAGGGAGGCAAACAGGCCACGATGGGCTAGGTACCACTCACCAAGCCGTCAACCCAAGGACGCTAAACCAAAACCAACAGTGTGTTCTTCACTGCAGCGTGTGACCCACGTCACAAAGTGATTTGACACATCGCGCTAGGCTGTGTTAAAGAATCTGTTGACTTCACCCTTCGCGCGAGGCCATCAATCTTGGCTTATGATCCTTAGGATGTTGTGCGCAACGCCTAACTGGGCCGGCCTAGCGGGAGACATGCAGAAGAGATTGAACTGCACGGAGGCCTTGTGTAAATGCTTGAACCCCGAGTAATGTAGGGGAAAATTGGAAAGAATTGCATGGCGGGAGCGCTCTGCTGTCCTGATAAAATACGACATTTTTTTTCCCCTTCCTTCTGTCGTCTTTGGCTTCGACGTTTATCTTCGTTTGTTGACGGTTTCACTTGCTTTTTTTTTTTTTAATCTTCCTTCAATCGGGCATCACCATCTTCTATTTTGAGCTTCCCCCGGCATGTGAGGGTGTGTGTGTGTATGAGAGAGAGATTCGGTTGGTACAATCTGTAATTTCTGATCTATTTTTTTCCCCCCTAAACAAAATGTGCTTTTCTTTGCTGTTGAAGGATTTGAGCAGATGGGACCTTCCAAATGGCATCGGGGTCCACCAAGGCAACGTGGGAAGCAGCCAGGCGTTAAGGAGGAAGGTCTCTCTCTCTCTCTCCCTCCCTCCCCCTCCCTCCCTCCCTCCCTCTCTCCCTCTCCCTCTCTCTCTGTCTCTCTTTCTCTCTGTCTCTGTCTGTCTGTCTGTCTGTCTCTCTCCCTCCCTCCCTCCCTCTCTCTCTCTCTCTCTCTCTCTTCCCAAGATTCCAGCAGAGACACAGGAGGTTTAGCCCCCCCCCCCGCAGAGCTGGGAAGTCTATAAGGTGACTTAAAATGGCAGGAAGTCACCTTTGGAGGAGGAGGAGCAGGAGCAGGAGAAGGAAGATGGGGGAGAAAGAGGAGGAGGAGGAAGAGGAGAAGGAGAGGAAGAGGAGGAGGAAGAACGAAGAGGAGGAGGAGGAAGAAAGAGGATGGGGGAGAAAGAGGAGGAAGAGAAGAAGCAGGAAGAGGAGGAGGAAAGAGAGGAAGAGGAGGAAGAACGAAGAGGAAAAAGGACGAAGAGGAGGAGGAAGAGGAAAAGGAGGAGGAGGAGGACAAGGAGAAGGAGAAGGAAGAGGGGAAGAAGGATGGGGAGAAAGGAGGGAGAGAAGGAGGAAGAGGAGGAAGAGAAAGAGGAAGAATGAAGAGGAGAAGAAAGAAGGAGGATGGGGGAGAAAGAGGAGGAAGACGAGGAAGATGAGGAGGAAGGAGAGGAAGAGGAGGAAGAGAAGAAGGATGGGGAGAAAGAAGGAAGAGGAGGAGGAGGAAGAATGAAGAGGAGGAGGAGGAAGGAGGATGGGGGAGAAAGAGGAGAGGAGGAGGAGGAGGAGGAAGAAGGAGGATGGGGAGAAAGAGGAGGAAGAGGAGGAGGAAGAACGAAGAGGAAAAAGAGGACGAAGAGGAGGAGGAGGAAGAGGAGAAGGAGGATGGGGAGAAAGGAGGGAGAGGAGAAGGAAGAGGAAGAGGAGGGAGAGGGAGTGGAAAAGGAGGAGGAAGAGGAGGAAGAGAAGGAGGAAGATGATGAGGAGCAGGAAGAGGAGGAGGAAGAGGAGAAGGAAGAGAACGAGGAGGAGGAAGTGGAAGAGGAAGAGGAGGAAGAAAGAAAGAGGAGAGGATGATGATGTTTGGACTTCCACTCCCAGAATTCCCCAGCCAGTCTCCCTCCCAATTGCCTCAGCGCCCTTCTCAACTCGAAGAGGGGTGGACTTCAGCTCCCAGAATTCCCCATTCCAGATCTGACAGCTGAGCTCCTCCAGGTCCCTCCTCCACTTGGGCGGTGCCATCTGTGAGGAGACCATGGGGGTGGTCCTTTCCAAACCCTGTTTCACCCCCCCCGCCTCCTTTACAGCTGGTCCCTTCCCTCAAAATCCCAGACTGGGGACAGGCAATGCTGCCGTCCTGTTGTTGTTGTTTTTTTTTTCCAGCTGTGGAGAATTTCTGTTTTTTTTTTTTTTCCAGCTGTGGAGAATTTGACTCACCTTTGATGATGATGGATGGTGTTAAACTGGGTTTCCTAACACTGGTTTCTTCCATTATGGTTCTGTTTGAGG